CACACAGGAGGCAGCCAGTCAATGTTTCTCTCTCATCATTGATGTTTTTATCTCTCACTCTCCTTTCCTCTCTGAAATCAATTAAAAAAAATTTAAAAATAGTGTTAAAAGTGTTCTGTCCCCCGCACCCTGTGTCGGACTGGGCTCGCATGTGCACATGCAGGTTGCCTTGTCTTCCTGCAAGTGACGGAGACACGCGAGCAGAACGATCCCCTGCGGCCCCCATGAACACACACACACACACACACACATACACACACACGGCAGGCCAGCAGTCGCTGCTTTTCCGTGGGCCGCGTAGGGCGAGCCCACATTTGTACGTGGGGGAGTCACCGAGGAGGACTGTCCTTCCTTGTCGCTCGTTTGGGGGTGAGGCCGGGTGATGGCCATGCTGTGCAGGTGGACACGGCTTGGCCTACCGCTGTCGGCTCTGCCTGAGAAATAGCTGGGAGGGGTAGGGGGGTGGAGGGGTGTCCAGGTGGCATCATGGAAGCCAGGCTGGGCATCTAGGTGCCACCTCGTCCGTCCCTGCACAGACGGGCCAGATAGAGCCTGCTGTGCAGCGTCGGGACATACTTCTACTAAACGCCACTCGTCTTGTGTCTGAAATTCACATCTAGGTGGCCTGTATTTGGCTCACTAAATCCAGCAACTCTGTTTATTGGCTTACTTTGCCCGGTTTAAAAACCACAAACAAATATTAAGTAGAGATGAAAAGGGAAGGAGAAATTGACACGGTTTAACCTTCAATATCTCAAGATTATTGAACAAGAATTTGTTTCTGGAATTAGAAATAGCCCCACACTCCCCTCGGCTGTAGATCTTGAGAGGATGTTGCTGGGCTGGTCTTGTTTACTTTTCCTGAAACTCCGTCACCGCCAGGCGGGGGCCAGAGCTCTCGGGCGGAAGCGGCCCACTGGCCGGGGGAGGTCAGCCCTGCTCTTTGAGCCCCTTGGGCTCAGTCCTGGTTGGGGGGCTGGGGGAGCCAGATGGGGCTCCTGGCCTGCCTGAGCTGATGGTGTCTTCCACACAATCAGGATTCCTCCAGTGCACGCCTGGGCCTCGTGTAGCCTAGCCCCTGGCAGGCAGGGCCCCGCTGCCAGTTCTCCAGCTTCTCATGACTGCCCAGCGCCACTTCCCTGTTTGAGACGCGGCTTCCCCCCCAAGCCTGTCCCTTGTTCTGACGCCTGCTGTGTCCCCACAGTCTGGGTGTGCCCTCCGTGTGTGCCGAGGCCATGGTGCCCACAGCTCTGCCTCAGAGCTACGGAGGCTGCGCAGGGATGCCGCTGGGCTGGCGAGGACAGCAGGCACCACCCAGTCGTGGGGCCAGTGCTGAGCAGGGCAGTTGGGGCAAGTGAGGATTGGAGGAGTTAGTGGGGCCTCAGGATCCGAGCTGAGCCAAAGGGGCAGCCGAGGAGGAGGGTTTTTTCAGGGGAGAGTAACTTCTCAGATGGAGTCAGGGCCGTGGGCCTTCCTGTGGGAGCCCCGATCTGTGTGGACATATCGGCCTGCTGAGCTGTCTTGTCCCTAGGGACAGGGCCCAGGAGATCAGGGCCATCTCTGGTCACCTGTTCATAACGTCTACCTGGTGCTGCTGTAGAAGCCCCTCGGCAATCATTGAATGGGCACACGAACGAACGAATGAATGAATGAGTGGGCAGGAGAATCCTGGGGCTGTGAGGATGGACCTGCTCGAGGTGACATTGAGCTTTGGGTAGGGGCCTGGTGAGGGCAGCCTCGGAAGGCAGACTGGCGTAAGGCTGGGTCCCTCAAGAAGCGGCATGGGTGTGAGCAGGGTGGTGCTGGTTAGGAAGGTGAGCCAGAAGGAGGTGGGGCAGGAGTAGGTAGCCAAGGTGGCACCAGAGAAGAGGCCGAGTGCTGGACCGCTGGCCTGCATGGGAGGACGGGTGACTGGGAGCTCCTATCAGCTCCCCCTCGCCCTGGCTCCTGCCCCTCTCTGCTGTGCCGCCCTCGCCACCGCATGTCTGCTTCCTGCCTTCTGCCGAGCTGCTTCCCTCTACTGAGACCTTTCGTCCCTGTGCGCCAGGGCGTCCAGTATGATGTGAATAAAAGAAGTTCCTTCCGAGTGCTAAGCCCACACTAGTAGGGAGCTATGGGAAGTGACAGGAGAGCCCCGCATCACCCTGCGTCAGTTTTCCCGGACGTGGTGCCTTTCTGTCCTCCCAGGCTGAGGTCTGCCGTGCTCAGAGCCTGGCTGAGCCCAGCCAGTATGGACTAGCACAGTTTCCTCGCCGTTGGAGGGCATACATTTACCTCAGCAGGAGCTTGTGCACACTTGTTCCTCTTCATTCATAATCCTGTGGATCTTGCTTGAGGTAAACCACATTATAGAGGATTAGAATCGATATGTAGAACAGGTGACGCTTGGATAACGTGGGCTTGAGCTGTGCAGGTCCACTTACACATGGGTTTTTCAATAAATATATAGGCAGCCCTCAGGATTCTCAAGTTCCACATCCTGGGAGTCAGCCAACCATAGATTGAAAACAGTATTTTTGATCCATGGTTGGGAGTCCTCGGATGTGAAGGGCTGACTGTGCATAGCTTCACGCGAAACTGTGCCTGCAGGGATCCTGGAACTCGTTCCCCACAGATACCACGGGACTGGAGTTAAGTTTGGGGGAAGTCAAAACTTATACATGCGTTTCCGGTGCTGCTAGCCCCCGCACCGTTCAAGGGTCAGTTATCTATTTTCTATTTATATAAAAGCCTAAGCGACCGGATGACCGGCCGGTAGCTATAATGCACACTGAACTCCAGGGGGCAGATGCTCAATGTAGGAGCTGCCCCCTGGTGGTTAGTGCGCTCCCACAGCTGGGGCGCCGCTCAGCTGACAGATGGGCGCTAGATGCCGGGCTCACTGCTGGCCAGTGCTGCTGCAGCAGCAGCGCAAACCTTTCCCTCGGACACACCCCCTGCGCCTGAGCCGTGGTGGTGGCGGCAGCGGGCGCGGCGGGGCGGGTGGAGCAGGATTGACACGGACAGCGGGCTGGAGCCGGGCGAGCTGGCGGGTAAGGCTGGGCTGTGACAGTGCGGAGGTCCACGCAGCCCCCACAGGCCAGGCCGAGGGACCCACCGGAGCATGAATCGGTGCTCCGGGCCTCCAGTATGGCAGTGTTTTTGAAACAGTAAAATGGGTCTCTGTAAGTAAAATAGTATAATTCTCCGCTAAGTCTAGATTTTCCTCTCCACGCTAAAAAAGGAAAAGTTCTGAGTTAGAGATGCTACTTGTTGTGAGGCCTTCTGTAGCAGAGACACCAGGAACCAGTGATGAAATATTCAAGCAGCTGCACAGGGATCCTGTTCCCGGCCTTCCTTCTGCCCAGAGGCTTGGGTGCCCCCTCCCTTGGGGGTTGCCTCCTCTTCCTCACAGCCTGGGTGTGTGTGGGGGAGGGGGGATTGTTTAAGGGTAGTGTTTAAAACTTTATGTGGTGCAGATGACACTAGCCTAACTGTTTCTTCAGCTTCATATTGCTTTTGGAATTCCATTTCATTGTAACATTATTAACTGTAAACAAACCTCTGTTCAAAGAAATGAAATATCCTAATTTCTTCTCTCCCTTACTGCCTCTCCTCACTCCCAGTTGTTGATCTCTGTGTACTTCCCAGTTCCAAGAGCTGCTTTTCTGTTTGTGAAGTCTTGTTTGGCTGCTTAGCAATGAAATAAGTGGGAAGGCGGGCTGTGCTCCTGGAGACCAGAACCGGGGCGCCCGCCACGCACCCCTGCAGCTTGGCCTTTGGTTTCTTGGGGCTTGAAGTGGTAAAACCTCAAGAATTCACATTAAAACAAACAAGCATGTGAAAACTTGCATAATAACAAACTGCTGAATGGGAGCATTTTGAACAGAGCATAGACTTGTGCTCAGACTGTTGTGGATTACTCAGCGACATGCATACCGACAATGCTGGTGCTGACCACCCACTTCCTAAGCTGCATTCGTGCTCAGATTGGGGGTAAAGCTACCAAGGACTGGATGGACTCTTTGAGGCCAGATCAGTAATTGTCGCAGCAGAAATACTTCAAGGAGGCCAGTTCCCGCACAGGCCTGTATGGTGCAGCGGGAGGCGGCGGGTGGCGACCAGCCCGCCGAGTAGCCCTGGGTGAGCCCAGCCCGCACCGCACAGCAGCAGGTGCCGCCTCTCGCCTTTCTGCTAGGACCTTCGGCTGCGGGATCGTGACTGCGTAGGCAGCTAGGGTTTCTGTTCGACCGGAGCACACGCTTTGGATCGCCTGTTCGTGCTGAACCCGGTGCTGTTTTCGGAGGTTTGCTTGGGTGTTAGGGTGGCCTCTGTGGGGTGGACTGAGGTGTTGGAGACAGATGTTTCTCCCACTCGGTACTGCGTTCGCACTCATTAATGCGGGGGGGAGACACGGACTGTGAGACATTGGCAGACGCCTTCGGGGGAAACCTTCCTAGCGATCACACACAGTGGATCTGGGCCCTCTCAGGAGTGAGACCCCGAGTCTGCAGCCAGTGCCGCGTTTCAGTCCGACTCTGCCCTGCGTTCAAATGCCCCTCAGACGCCTGTGTCTGCAGGGGAGCCCCTGGCGGTGGCGGGGCTTCGGGCCACACTAGGAGTGTGAGGGTCTCCAGGTCCCTTCTCTTCTGTCCGGATCGGGAGGTGGTCAGTGCCAGGAGGGGGTGCTGCAGAGTCCAGAGGGAGCCTCGCAGGAGGGGTCAGGGTTGAGGGGACCGTCCTGGAGACATTTCCCACTTTGGAAGGACATTCCTAGCCTAAGATTTACTGCCTCTCCTCCACCGACATTGACGGGTAACTGGAGACTCCTGGTGCCGGGTTTGCTATGAGATACCTCTCCGAGCCCAGGTAACGCAGGAAGCAGTGGAGCCTGGGCTCCTTACTGACAGCTGTTGTTTTCTTCCTCAGGGCAGCCTTTCTGGAAAAGGATGGCGGCTGCAAGCGTGCTCTGAGCTGTGGCCCCCGGGGAGCTATGCTCCTGTCCCGGGAGGCGCGCTGAGATGTACAGAGCAGGGGACACGGTGGAGCGCCCGCCACCGGGGACGGCACCCCCCCGCCTGAGGAGTGTGGAGGTCGCCCGAGGGAGAGCAGGCTACGGGTTCACCCTCTCCGGCCAGGCGCCCTGTGTGCTCAGCTGTGTCATGAGAGGGAGCCCTGCCGACTTTGTGGGCCTCCGCGCCGGAGACCAGATCCTCGCCATCAATGACATCAACGTGAGGAAAGCGTCCCACGAAGACGTGGTTAAGCTCATCGGGAAGTGCTCCGGGGTCCTGCACATGGTGGTGGGCGAAGGCCTCGGTCACCTGGAGTCCTGCTCCAGCGACGAGGAGGTGGGCTTCTATGACGGGAGGGGCTGGCGGAAGCCCAGACTGGACTCCAAGGCGCTAGGCATCAACAGGGCCGAGAGAGTCGTCGAGGACATGCAGTCGGGGGGCATTTTCAGCATGATCTTCGAAAACCCCCGCCTGCACGCCAGCAGCTCAGAGCCCTCCAAGCTGAAGCAGAGGTCTCTCTCCGAGTCGGCGGCTGCGCGACTCGACCTTGGGCAGGAAGGTGTAGGCGAGCCGCAGCCCGGCCTGCTTCCCAAGGAGCTCTCCCACGCTGTCAACGATGACTCGGTGTTCAGTCTCGGCCTGGAGAATCAGGAAGAGTTTGGGTTAGACGCAAGTATTTTAAACGTCGCCATGGTCGTCGGCTATTTGGGTTCCATCGAACTTCCTTCCACGAGCAGCAGCCTGGAGGCCGACAGCTTCCAGGCCATTCGCGGCTGCCTGCGGCGCCTGCGGGCCGAGCAGAAGATCCACTCCCTGGTGACCATGAAGATCATGCACGACGGCGTGCAGCTGTGCACCGACAAGGCCGCCGTGCTGGCCGAGTACCCCGCCGAGAAGCTGGCCTTCAGCGCCGTGTGCCCCGACGACCGGCGCTTCTTCGGGCTGGTGACCATGCAGAGCGGCGGCGGCGGTGGCCTGGCGCGCGAGGGCGAGGGCGTGCTGCGGACCTCCTGCCACGTGTTCATGGTGGACCCAGACCTGTTCAGCCACAAGGTCCACCAAGGCATTGCCCGGCGGTTCGGGTTCGAGTGCACAGCCGACCCTGACACCAACGGCTGCCTGGAGTTCCCGGCGTCCTCCCTGCCGGTCCTGCAGTTCATCTCGGTGCTGTACCGGGACATGGGCGAGCTGATCGAGGGGGTGCGCGCCCGGGCCTTCGCGGATGGGGACGCCGACGCCCACCAGAACACCAGCACCAGCAGCAACAGCGACAGTGGCATTGGGAACTTCAACCAGGAGGAGAGGAGCAGCCGGGTGCTTGTGGTCGACCTGGGCGCCAGCTCCAGCAGACATGGCCCCAGCAGCAGCACTTGGGAGGGGGCGGCCGGGAGGGGATCCCAGCCTTGGGGCACCCCCTGGAACGGGGCCTTTAACCACGACCCCGAGGCAGGGCCCCCATTTGAAGCCGCTCCACAGGCTGACAGGGGCTGGGACTTCAGTAAGCATTTGGGGCCCACCTCTCTCGTGGAGGCCCCCCCGGCTCCCTTGCGGAGCTCAGTCCCTCCTTCCAAGAGAGGCGCTGTGGGCCCTGGCGGTGGCTTTGGCCAGCGGTGGCTTCCGGTTCACGTCCTGCAGGAGTGGCAGTGCGGACATGCCAGTGACCAGGAGTCTTACACGGACTCCACTGATGGGTGGTCCAGCATCAACTGTGGCACACTGCCCCCTCCCATGAACAAGATTCCCGCTGACCGCTACCGGCTGGAGGGCAGCCTGGCGCAGCCCCTGCTGAGCACCCAGAAGAGGGACTGGTCCAGGAAGGCGTTTGGGATGCAGAACATTTTTGGTCCCCATCGAAACGCTAGGAAGACCAAGGAGGACAAAAAGGTGAGCCTGCGGAGCTGGGTTAGTGAACGTGGACTGGACTGGCCGAGTCAGTGACGGGTGCAATGACAGCACACCAGCCGCCCAGGCTCCCGCTGCTTCCCCTCGCGGGGCTCTGTCGGCTGCCACAGCTGCCTGCTGGGATCGTGTGCTGAGGCTCCGTCCCGCCCGGAGCCTCCCTCAAGTGGTGTCATCCCCGCAGGCCCTTGCTCTGGCGGGACAGGCGGGGGTGGAAGGGATGGTGACTTCTCACAGCCCAGGTGAGGGTCTCCCCTCCTTCCTACCCTTTCCTACTGCTGGCACCTGCGGGGCCCTGTCCCTGCGCCTCTTGGGAGTCCGTGGGGTTTCTGGCTGAGTCTTCATCCTAGTGGCTGAGGCAGCACACCCTTTTGTTGTTGTTAACCCTCACCTGGGCCATTTTTCCCATTGATTTATTATTATTTTATTTAGGGAGGGAGGGAGGGAGCAGGGGAGAGAGAGAATGAGAAACATCCACGTGACAGAGACATCCTTGAGGAGGGCAGTGTTGCCGCACTGTCACAGGTGAACGGGACGCTTGAGGAGTCGTGTGGCCCGTGTGGGGAGGTAAGCCTCGAGCTCCCGCTCCTGGGCCAGGCCTCCTTTGGGGCCTGGGGGTTCTGGGAGCTCCTCAGGCTGTGCCTCCCCTTTCACTTTGTGACACGCTGGTGCACATTAAGCAACTGCCAGTCCGTGGCCAGTGAGCTCCTCCTCCTGCAGTTCCCTTGCAATGACAGGTGGCACACGGCTGTCTGCACTGTGTTTATTGGTCCCTCTGTAATCCCTTGGAACTCATTGGTTGCTTTGTACTTTGCTAAATGGGTTCCCCTGCGTTATTAGCTCAGCCGCCTCAGCTGGAGTGCAGAAGCTTCCAGAGTGGCGAGGAGGGTCCCTGTGTCCCTCCTGGCCTGGCCTGAGCTGGCTGAGGTGTGTCAGGATGAGTCGGCGACAGGCCGGAAAGGGGAGAAGGACATGCTGTCAGTGAGCAGAGGGCGAGGCCTTGGGAACGGAAAGGAGCCAGGTGCCGGAGGCCTGCGTGCCACATGGCTGAGTCCTGTCGCTGCTCCGAGGCGGCGGTGGCGGGGGCTCAGTGCCTCCCTTGCCCAGTGGGACTGTAACAGGTAGGGTCCGGCCAGGAGATGGAGAACGCAGCAGGACTGGCACAGGAACCGAGAGGTAGGGGCAGCACTGAGGCAGGGAGGTGGCTGCGGGAGCCCGAGTGGCACCGCGAGGCCTGGCATTGGAAGCCTTGCTGAGTCCCAGTGGCACAGGCTCAGCTCTCAGGCAGGCCAGGAGGGGTCAGCAAACTCCTCAGTCAACAGAACCAAAGATCAACAGCACAACAATTGAAATGTCTTTTGAGAGCCATTAAAGCGTTTAAACTTCTTCTAATGCCACTTCTTCAAAACACTGGCCCAGGCCGAGGTATTTTGTGGAAGAGCCACACTCAAGGACCAGAGAGCCATGGTTTGCCGACCACTGTTCTAGCACAATGACAGGAAGTTTTAAAATAGATTCTGGAGAACAGGCCCGGCTTTGATCCTGACCCTGTACAAACAATGCCCAGGGCGACATTACATCACTGCCCCATCCCAAGGAAGGGAGGACACAGGAGCAGCCTCTGCTGAGAGCCTGATCGCCGGGAGGGGGCGCTCCAAGGTCTGAGCTGCCCTGGGCTGGAGCATTGGGCACAGGTTCCTCTGACAGTGCGTGCTGACTGCCCTCGGTGGGGGCTCACGGTATGGGGGCAGCTGCCACCAAGGCTGCTCCAGGCTCCAGGGGAGCAGTGACAGACTCCCTCCGGACGTCCTCTCTCAGGGAGACATTCCCAGCCTCCTCGGGGTCTGGCCCAGTTCAGATGGCTCCCCCTCCTGCCCAGGGCCTGGCTTTCCCTCTGCACTCCCCTGCCTGCCCTCCCTGAGGGCACTTAGGGTTCGAGTCCCCAGGAAATCAGATATTTTCAGCTGCCATGCTTTTATTTGAAAGATGTGGTGACTTATTTGCTGGAACCACAATCACATTCAGAGGAGTGTCTAGCATAATAACAGTGTATTAATTGTAGTAATTTCCCGGAGAAAGAACAAGATGTTTCACTGGCTGGTTATTTCCGGCACCTGAGTCGGTTTGGGCTTCAGACGCCAGCTGAATGTCGGGATTCTTTAGTTTCCCCGACGCTCATGAAATTCAGCCACAGCGCGGCCTTGTGAACCCAGCCTTGGTTAATCACCATTGTTCTCTCACTGCACGTTCCCACGTGCTGTTTGTCTGCTCTGGGGACAGATCCCTGTGCCTGGCGGCGAGGCGGGGTCGTTCCTGGAGGGGGGGAGAGGGGCAGAGCAAGCCCTGGAGGCCTGGGCAGCCTTGGTTTTGGCTCTGCTGTTATTGAGGTGGTGTCCACAGGTCATGCCATTTCCTCGGTGGGAGCAGGGGGCACAGTCTGGTTTTCTGGACCCTCTCTTTTCTGCAAGGTGGTGCCTCAGGCCAAGCTAGCACCTCTCCTCTGGAGGTAACTCAGTTTACCTTTTCTTTGTGTTTAGGGCTCAAAATTTGGGCGGGGCCTCGGTCTCGCTCAGACTTCTCAGCGCGCCTCTGCGCGGAGATCGTTCGGAAGATCCAAGAGATTCAGTGTCACCCGCTCCCTTGATGACCTCGAGGTAAGCCTTTCAGTTCCCTTCTATCCTCCAGGCTGTTAGAAGCTCACTGACACCCTGACTCCTTTGTATTCCACCCGGATCCTGCTCCGCCCCCTCTGGGTCACCCCTTCTCCTTGCATGGCGGTCACTGTGCTGCCCCAGCCGTGTCCCCAGTCCCAGAGCGTGTCAGTTCTGTAGTCTGTGTGCCTGTGAGGAAGGAGGGGCCAGCGGTACCCTTAAAGGTGCGATACAGAGACTGCCTTTTGGTGTGGTTTTTCTTTTTATTCATTTTTCTTAAAAATTGAATCGGCTTTACTATTAGAGCAGCTTTAAGTTTGCTCCCTCTCACTTCTTCTCTAAAAAAATATATAATTCAGTATCCATTCATGGTTAGAAAACTCCCACAAAAGTTAAAATAGGAATTAAAGGGAATTCCCTTAATCTGATAAGGGCATAAAATCCCCTAGAACAGGTATCACACTCAAGCTTTCCTTTTGAGATCGGGAACAGGCGACATTGCTGATGCCATTTCTGTCTCGATTTTCATTGCACGTCCTTGTCACTGTGGCATGAAAGTAAGATAGTAGAAGTAAAGGCTTGGAAAGAAAAATGTAACGTCATTCTCACAAAATACTATTGTAACAAAATCTGCAAGAAGCTATAGGTTATTAAAACCAATGAGTGAGCCGAAACCGGTTTGGCTCAGTGGTAGAGCGTCTGTCTGTGAACTGAAAGGTCCCGGGTTCGATTCCGGTCAAGGGCATGGACCTTGGTTGCGGGCATATCCCCGGTAGAGGGTGTGCAAGAGGCAGCTGGTTGATGTTTCTCTCTCATCGACCTTTCAAGCTCTCTATCTCTCTCCCTTCCTCTCTGTAAAAAATCAATAAAATATATTTAAAAAAATAAAATAAAATCAATGAGTGAATTTAGCAAGATTGCTGGATCTATGGTCAATATACAAAGATTAATTTTAGATATAATTAGAAAATTACCTAAGATTCAGTGCACTTTTTAAATATATTATTGATTTTAGAGAGGAAGGGAGAGGGAGAGAGAGAAACTTCAATGATGAGAATAATTGATTGGCTGCCTCCTGTGCACCCCCTACTGGGGATCGAGCACACAACCCAGGCATGTGCCCTTGACCAGAATTGAACCAAGAACCCTTCAGTCCACAGGCCAACGCTCTAGCCACTTAGCCAAACTGGCTAGGGCTAGCCAAGGTATTCTTAAAGTAAAATAAGATAGCTATCAGCTATCAAAATGATGAAGTGTAAGAGCAATTTAAGACTGTAAATGTTGGCTCAGGATAGACAGACAGACATGCAGTAGAAGATAGCACTTGGGCTGTGTGTCCAGGGCAGGGTGAGTTTGTGGGGTTTTTAGTGGTGCTGGGAAAAGTGGAGAAAAAACAAAGGAAGAAATAAACTGAATTCCCACGTCATACAGACAGGATGGGGCCCGCTGTGCAGGTCTGACTGCAGAGCAGGGGTCATGAGGGTCACAGACACAGCTCCATGGAGGTGGGGGGCAGACACCGAGCGCTGACCATCAAGGCTGGGGTCGCCCACTTGGACTCCAGGAGGCTTGGTGACTGCAGCATTCAAACGCCCATTTTAAAGGCCCATTTGTGTTGAGAGCACCTCCGGAGCAGAGTGGGCCGGACGCCTAACAGGCATTTGATGAAAGATGATATCCCAGTAGCAAAGCCACATCTGAAGAGGTTTCCAACCACGTTAGTCACCGGGAGGCGCAAGTTACAGCCACAGGGAGGCTTGTCCACCAGAGTGGCCCAGTGACCAGAGGCAGATGTGTGTGTGGACATAAGCAGCCGCACTCTGATAAGCCCCTGGGGGCGTGCTTGACGCATCGGCCGTGTTTGAAGGTACAGTGCCCTGTGACTCGGCAGTTCCGCTGCACCCAGAATGTCCCTCCCGAGAACCAGGCAACATGCGCGAGGCCTCACGGTGTGGTCGACTCTGAGCCAGAGCAGCCTAATGCCCGGCCGCAGGGAGCACAGGGGTGCTCTGTGGCTGCCTGGACACATGTCCAGAGAGAGGGCAGACATGCAGTGCGTGCGTAGGACTCCAGTCAAAGAAGCTGAAAACAGGCCAGACTAAGCCCTGGCTTTTGGTTGTGTGTTCAGTGTAGAACTATTAAGAAGAACTAGAGCCTGGCCATTGTGGCTCAGTGGTTGAGCATCAACCTATGAACCAGGAGGTTGTGGTTCAATTCCCGGTCAGGGCACAGGCCGGGGTTGCAGGTTCAATCCCTGGTAGGGGCATGCAGGAGGCAGCTGATGAATGATTCGCTCTCATCACTGATTTTTCCCCCTCTCCCTTCCTCTCTGGAAAAAACAAAAACAAAAACACAAAACAATATATATATATATATATATATATATATATATATATATATATATGTATGTATGTATTAAAAACCTAATATGCTAAGTGTCCAGTCATCTGGCCATCCATTCAACCAATCAAAGAGTAATATGCGAATGATATGCCAAAGCCACTCAACTGCTCGCTATGACGTACACTGACTACCAGGGCACAAACGCTATGACTGGTAGGTTAGCTTGTTGCTGGGATCTGGCTGATGAGGACTGAGCAAGACAGGCTGGACATGCCCTGGAGCCCTCCTGTGGTCCCTCCCCAGCTGGCCAACCTTCTGCATCCCTCCCCAGCCCCGATCATGTACGGGTGGGTCCCTTGGCCTGGCCTGCGCCCTCTCGCAATCGGACCCCTTGGGGGGTGTCAGAGAGCCCATTTTGGCCTGATCCCACAGGTCGGGCCAAGGGATCCCACTGTGCACGAATTCATGCACTGAGCCTCTAGCACGTCACCGTGCTTTCGTTATTGCCTGGATGATGCTACGCAAGCTTCACTCTGGGATAAATCACAGAAGCGTGATTTCCCATTTGTGCTCTTTTCTGAATTTGCTGTGAAAATGATCAGCATGGGGTGTGTCTCTCCCAGGCCTGCTCAGATGCTGGAGTCGGCAGCGATGGCCGCTAGGGTTAGGATTTTACAGATGAGCCTGAGAGAGGAAGATAGAACCCAGGAGCCGAGGCGTGCGGAGGGAATGTGAAGGAGAGGACAGGAGCTATGACAGATTGTGGGAAAGGGGCTCTTGAGACAGAAGGTGGAGGGGGAATGAGACCTTTGCTATGGAATGGCAGAGGGGTCGTCTGGGAGAGGACCTGGTACCTGCCCCGCAGGGCTTGCAGGGACCGTGGGCAGAGTGGGGGACGGGCGCAGAGTGAGGACACAGCATGCAGGAGCCAGGCCCACACCTGCTGGGAGGCTGGCACTCCCAGACTCCTCTTGGTCTCATTGTGACTCAGTGTCCCATTCTGTCCGCCGGCACCTTGGGTGGACAGGAACCCGGGTGTCCACGTGTCCGCCACACGTGGTTCAAAGGCTGTAACTGCAGGGAGCGCCGAGCCCTGGGAGGTCCCTATTCCCGCTGTCGCCCTCAGACACCACTCTGCCGCTCCCAGGGTCTCCGCGGCTCATGACATCCATGTAACGTGATGAGGACCGCAGTGTCCCCACTCCTTGAGGGCAGATCCCCCTCCCAGGGCCCCATGCAAGGCGGGGGTCACCAGGCTGTGCCCTGATGGGCCACACGAGGCCAATGGCCCTGCCTGCGTCCATGACCTACCCCGTCACTGGACACATTGACCGCTGGGCCGCAGGAACTATCACTGTTTCTGCTTTACTGAGCGGGAAACTGAGGCAAGGTGCCAGTGCCAGGGAATAAGGGATTGTCCGAGCCCGTGGAGCCCTTCCCCCAGCAGGCGGGCTTAGAGCCTCGTTCCTGCACCGGCTCCCCAGCTGCCTCTCCCAGGACACCGAGCCCCAGCAGCCTGGTCTGCGCGGCTGCCCCAGGAGCTGTGGCTCGTCCTGCCCCAGGGAATGCTCTGCAGGTGAGAGCCACAGCTGACAGGTGCTCAAAAGGGAGACGTCAGGGGGCGACTTGGTGACTTCGACGGCGGTGGGGGTGGTGGGGAGCAAGGCCAGGTGTGGGGAGAGATGGGGCGCCCTGCATGCCCTGGTCTGGTGGCTGCTCTGGGAGGGACTGTCCACGCCAAGCCCTTGATGCTAAGAGGGGCCAGGTCTTGGGACAGGGCACAGCCAGTGTGTCCCGGGGTAGAAGGGGTGGGACGGCTGAGTCCGCAGAGCCTGCAGGAGCCCAGTGAAAGCGCTACCTCCCTGAGTTCCGGCCTGCTCTGGGCACCCCTCCGGGAGGGCCAGGCGTCTGTTTGGAAGGCCCCTCGGGCAGCATGGAGGCAGCAGGGGCTGAGACTCTCCATGGGGCTGTGCAGGCCACTGGGGCCAGACAGCCACCCTCCCAAGCAAAAGCTCTCGTTTCCAAAGACAAGGCAGGGGGGCGAGGCATGCTTTGGACTAGAGAGTGGGGGGAGCTGGCTGGGCAGAGTCTGGCGAGTACAGTGTTGTTGGCACGTGAATACAGCGTTGTTGGCACATCAGGCAGAGCTGAGTGGTAGTGTATGGCCTGCAAAGCTGGGGGCGTCCTGTGAGGCCAGTGGCCAGCTCGCTCCCAGCCCTGCTCTAGGCTGTTCTCTAGGCTGGGGGGGGGAGGGTCCTCCATCCCCTCCCCATCGCCCGAGTCTCCTCCCTTTTCCTGACAGGACCACCCTGTCCTGCTGCCCTGGACTCCCAGCCCAGCTCACTGGAGCACCCCATCCCTATCACGGCTCCTCCTGCCGCTCACAGCGCCCCAGCCCCTCCATCTGGGCCCTCTCTCTGCATCACTATCTAGAGCAAGCATATCAAACTCATGGCCGTAGGCCACATGCACCCACAATGAATATTTTTGCAGCCCACCAGTATGACAGTATGTAAGAAACGTTTTAATAAACATCTCATAATTTAATTTTTACAATATCCTGTTATACGTAATTATTAATTATGAACTGCAACGTTCTTTTTTTTTTGATAATTTATTTTTATTTTTTTTGAATATATATTTTTTTGATTTTTTTTGCC